TGTGTGTGTGTGTGTGTGTGTGTACGTTTTTGAACATTCACACATACATATTCTGCCAAAAGATATCCCATCACTATTTTAGGACCATTTCCCTGAAATAAACAGGCAACAGCTTTATCTGATTGCAGTTATGTTCTGTCTGGAGTGGGATCCCCTCCCCTCTCCTCCCCTCCACTCTAAGACTTTCCGAGGAAGGCCTATGAATGAAGCAGAAGTTATTCTAGACGTTGTATTCTGCATGGGAATCCCCTTTTTTAACATATTCACCGCAGTGACAACTGAGGAGGTTGAGCTCTGGTGTTGGAAGCCTTGGCCATGCAGATGGAAGGCAGGCAGGGGGCACTGTTATTTTCACAGGATCACTGCTGTCCACTATGAGGGGGCGGATTTTTGAAGGTAGCTAGGGATGAATGTCACAGGGACTTAGTTAATGTACTTGGTGGGGGACTGTCAGAGGCGGAAGGCAGAGCATATGGCCAGGACAGGAGTTGACAGGCTGCCAGCAAAGAGGAAGAATGTGGTACTAAAACATACCCAGGTTAGCTGAGAAGACGCCATGCCTTCCATGCCTTACGGAACCAAAAAGCCCCAGCTAATAAGGAAATGCTTGGAAATACTGGGTGATCTTTGTTCATGAATAGGGAAGAAAATAAAGGAAGCCACCGGACTGTCCCCTTGTGAGTGAAACTCGTGGAGGAAGTGGAACTCAGGTTAAGGTCACCAGGTCAGAAGCCAAGGAGAAACTTTGAGATTAAAAGCTCACCTGAGGGGGGCTGGAGAGATGTGCTTAGTGTGAATCAGGCTGTGGGTGTGATACCCCGAACCCCCCACCCTCCAAAAAAGACTGACTCTAAAGGGCACTGGTTGCTCCTTTAGAGGATCCGGGTCCGAGTCGCAGCACCCACATGGTGGCTCACAGCCATCGATAACTCCAGCTCCAGGGATCCGATGCCTTCTGGCCTCCTTGGGTACAGCCCACATATAGGGTATGGATAGGGTATGATGTGTGTGCAAGCAAAACAGCCCTATGCATTTAAAAAAAGAAAAAGAAAAAACAAAACAAAACAAAAACACCTTACCCGCGGGCCCCTGAGGTGCCTCAGTGGGTAAGGGTGTTTCTACCAAGCCTGATGACCTGAGTTTGATTCCCACATGGTGAAGGGGGAGAGCCAACTCCCACGAGTCCTCTGGTCTCCACATGTGTGCCATGCTGTGTGTGCGTCCGCCTGCCTCTGCCTCCTCTAAGTGCTGGGATTAAAGGCGTGCACCACCGCCAACCGCTCCCAGCTCAGTCATGGATCTTGATCTCCTATGACTTGGGTGCCATCAAACAAGACAAAAACAGCCAAAGCAAGCAGAAGCTCATGTGCCATGCTGGAATGGAGCCCCTAGCCTGTGATTGCTTAAGCTCTGTGACGTAAAACCGGGACCGTGAAGTGTCTTCATCAGCAGGGCGTGGTTTTTAAGCCATGTAGACCTCAGACTGTGCTAGTGCCACTGGATGGCTTTTTTTCTGGTCCCCTTTGAGTAGGAGGTAGGGATCAAAGTGACACATTCTCTTGGGTTTGTGTGTGACTCTGTGCTGTATAGACATCCTTGTCTGAGCTGCAGACTTGACTCTGGGCCTAGGGATGTAGCTCAGCAGGAAGACGTGTGCTTAGCATGAGCCAAGCCATGAGTTTGGTACCCAGAACTCCTCCCCCAAAGTGACTCTAAACTGGTCAAAAATGATTTCTTTTTAACTTTTTAAAAATGTATTTATTAGGGGCTGGAGAGATGGCTCAGCGGTTAAGAGCACTGGCTGTTCTTCCAGAGGTCCTGAGTTCAATTCCCAGCACCCACATGGTGGCTCACAACCATCCGTAATGAGATCTGGTGCCCTCTTCTGGCCTGCAAGCATGCATGTAGGCAGAACACTGTATACATAATAAATAAATAAATCTTTTTTAAAAAATGTATTTATTAGCCAGGCGGTGGTGGCACATGCCTTTAATCCCAGCACTCGGGAGGCAGAGGCAGATGGATCTCTGTGAGTTCGAGGCCAGCCTGGTCTACAGAGCGAGATCCAGGATAGGCAGGGCTGTTATACAGAGAAACCCCGTCTGGAAACACCCTCCCCCCTGCACACACAAATTACTGTTCTTATTTATGTGGATGCATGTGTTTGAAGTTATGTGCATCATGTGTGTGCAGGTGCCCTCGGAGAACAGATGGTATTGGGTTCCCTGGAACAGGAGTTATAGGCGGTTATGAGCTTCCTGGTGTAGGTGCTGAGAACAGAACCCTGGTCCTCTTAGAAGAGCAGTAAGCACTCTTAACCTCTGAGCCATCCCATCAGCACCTTGTTTCTTTGATTTGAGATCTCACTCTGTAGCCCTGGCAGGTCTGGTACTCTCTACATAGGCCATTCTTGAATCCACAACCTGCCATAAAAGTTTTTTTTTTTTAATTTAACAGTTTTAAATTTTTTTTCTGTTTTTAATTTATGCATAGGAGTATTTTGTCTGCTTGGATGTCTGTGTACCACATGCATGCAGTACCCGCAGAGGCCAGTAGAGGACATCAAATCTCCTGAAACTGGAGTTATAGATAGTTGTAAGCCACCATGTAGGTGCTGGGAACTGAACCTGGGTCCTCTGCAAGTGTAACCATTGCTCTTAACCACTGAGCCATCTCTCCAGCCTCATCCACCTTTTTCAGATGGTTGACCCCACTAGGGATTGAGTTTTAAAATATAGTTTACCTCCCCTTCCAAAAAAATATATGTACACAAATCAATACTCTTCAAGGTTCTCCCAAGGACAATACAGTGTTTATTATACATGTCATAAAATTAAATTTTTTTTAAATATTTTCTTTTAAAAAATGATTTATTTTTATTTTATGTGCATTGGTGCCCTGCCTGCATGTATGTCAGCATGAGGGTGTCAGGTCTCTTAGAACTGCAGTTACAGAGGAAGAGGAGGAATTGTCTCAGGTCTAAGGCAAACCCTATGTCAGCTGCCACGTGGGTGCTGGGAATTGAACCTGGTCCTCTGGAAGAGCAGCCAGTGCTTTTAACTGCTGTGCCATCTCTCCAGCCCCAAGTTTTTTCTTTCTTTTTTTTTTTTTCTTTGTTTTTAAGATGGTGGCACACACCTTTAATCCCAGCACTCTGGAGGCAGAGGCAGGTAGAACTTCTTGTGGGCCACAAGAATGTAATAGAGAGTTTCAGCTGTATATTAAAACTATACTTTGACCAACCAAGGGTCTGTCAAGTGGGAAGCCATTTATCACGGAATATTTGGTGTTATGCAGCCTTAATATTCAGCTGCGCCTTGCTATGAATTTCTTGTGGGCCCATATATTACCAGACCACTTGGCAAACAGTTCAGCTCCTCAGACCTGCTGAACCTCCAGGTCACTTCACTCCCCCCCCAGCCTAGGACTCAAGCTGACTGGAGAGCCCAGCTTTGCTTCTTGTGCAAATGAAGCTCAGACCACCCCCTTCCCTCAGGCCTGGGGGCGGGGCAGAGAGACTGGGGACAAGAGGGCTTTCTGCATAACCTGGTGCAGTAAGGACTGGAGCAGAATTCGAGGCAGACACAGAACCACGTGGCCAGAGAGAGGAGAGGAAGACAGAGATTCTGTAGAGGGTAAAGCAGATCTCTTGCAGAGTTTTCCCGAGAGCCAGGAGTAAGGAGTCAGGAAGGCAAGATGGAGGACGAAGGAACAGAGGAGGAAGATGAGGTCAAAGGCATAGGAACTTACTAAAACTATGAGGACAGGAAAAGAGGGCACAGAGAGGAGCTGAATGTGAGGATGGAGCTGAAGCTGTATAGATGGAATTTTGTCATAGAGGAATAAAGTAACGGACAAAAAGGCATGATGTATGTAGATTCCTTCCCTCGGATAACCCCACGCCAAATGTAGCGTCTTTCCCAGGACTCTGGGAATTCTCTCAGGGCTGGACTTGGGAAAATTCCGTCATCTTTAAGAACTCTGTGAGTTCAAGGCCAGTCTAAGCTACATAATGATGCCTTGTCTCAATAGACAAATAGAAAATTTAGATTCAGGACAGTTTGTTTGTTTGTTAAAGCACCTGATGAGCTGGAGGTGTGGCTCAGTGGAAGAGCACTTGTCTGGCCGCTGTGAGGCTCTGAGTTCTTCAGCCAGTCCCCAGCACTATGAAGAATTAATTAATTAATTAATTAATTAATAATTTTGAGATAAGCTCTTTCTGTGTAGCCCTGGCTGTCCAGAAATTTTAGACCCAGCTGGCCCTGAACTCACAGAGATCCGCCTGTCTCTGCCTCCCAAGTGCTGGGATTAAAGGCGTGCACCACCATGCCTAGCCTAAGAAGTCATTTTTCAATGCACCTGCTAACATGAAGTGTACAAAGTGGCTTGGTTACTGGTGTGCCTTTGTAGGCTTTTGTTTATTCTGTGTAAATAGGATGTTCTTCTTTTTGCCCCAAGGCACGGCAGCAAGCTCAATTACGTCACCAAATGGCAGAGGACAGCAAAGCTGATTACTCCTCAATCCTACAGAGATTCAACCAGGAACAGTGGGAATACTACCATACCCACATCCCCAACATCTTCCAGGTAAGCGCTGCACAGTGCTCACAGTTTGTGGAGACAGGTTGTTTCTGATGTGATAGGGCCTCGCTCTGTAGCCCAGGCTGGCCTGAAAGTCACTGTGTACCTATGTCCGCAGTCATCAGCCTGAGCCTCCTGAGTCCTGGCCTTACAAGTGTGCGCCACCACACCTGGCTTCCCAAATGTCCACAAAGTCATTTGGGAGTAGGTGCACATGTATGTGTGTGTGGAGGCCAGAGGTCACCTTGGATATATATCTGTACACCACATTAATGCCTAGTGCCCCTGGGGATCCGAAGAGGGCCTCTAGAACTAGAGTTCCAGATGATTGTGAGTGGACATGTGGGTGCTGGGAGTCGAACCCAGGTCCTCTGCAAGAGCAGCCCGTGCTCTTAGGTGCTGGACCATCTCTCCACTCTCCCACCCTTTTATCTGAGACTGGGTCTCTCAGTGGCAGGCTGTAGAGATGGCTCTGTAGTTAAAAATGCTTACTGCTCTTATAGGAGATTAGCGTTTGGTTCCCAGAACCCACAATGCCTGCAACTCCAGCTCCAGGGGACCTGCCACCCTCTTTTGTCTTCCTTGGCCATCTCTGTGGACATCTGCACACACGTGGTATACATAAACTCACACAGACCCACACATACACATAATAAATAAATCTTTTAAAAATACCTTAGCATAGGCTGGCTGGCCAGCAAGCCTGGTGGATTCTCTTGGTTTTGTTACCCCCGCACAAGGCTTACAGGTACTCTCCATCACACCCAGCTTCTTAGGTGGACTCTGGGCATCAGAGGCGGTCTCATGCTTGTACAGCAAGCCCCCTCCCTACTGGGCTGTCTCCCCAGCGCCACAGAGTTGTTTCCCGTGGCGTGCAGATCGAGCGATGGCCAGCATTAAGAACGAAGCATGACGCTAACTTGGGGTTCAATAGGTGGACGTCCTGGGCCTTCACTGTGCCCGGGTTTTTTTTGAGGGGGTTGATATCTTACAACTGTGCCTCTTAGAGGACTGCTTCCTTTGTAAAGGACACTCTGGCTACAAGAAATGCCAGCTTAGCTTGAGGGGACAAAGTGGCATTCAGACTTGTGGGGTTTGAACAAACAAGTATTGTTTCCTTTGAATTGTTCTCTCTTCATTTTAAAATCTGTGTGTGTGTGTGTGTGTGTGTGTGTGTGTGTGTGGTGTGTGTGTGTGTATGTGGTTTGTGGGTACATGTATTTATTTATTTGAGGAGTCTCATTATGGACACCTGGCTGCCCTGGAACTCACTATATAGATCAGGCTGGCCTTGAACTTACAGAGATCAGCCTGCCTCTGTTTCCCAAGGCTGGGATTAAAGGTGTGCGCCACCACATTTTTCTGAGGCTGACTCTCTCACTGATTTGGAGCTTCCCGTGTGACTGGGCTGGCCAGCAGCCAGCTCTAGAGATCCGCCTGTCTGTGTCTACAGTGACGGCTTACTGTTGGGCCCACCCCATCCGCCCCTGGCATGTGTACATGACTGGGGGCGGGGGTTAGACTCAGGTCCTTGTGACTGTGTGGCAGACACTTGACCAACTGGGCCATCTCCCCAAGCACATGGATTGTTTCTTTGGTTGCCTTAAGTGGTCAACAATGATATGAGAGACTCTGGATGAAGCTCATTGTGGGGCACTGGTTTGTCCCACCTAAGCCTGACGACCTTCCATCCCCACAGCACAGTCAATCAGGCAGTCAATGTACAAAATACACAAATACATACATTATATATATATATATATATATACCCCCTATTTGGAGAATTTTGCCTAGTTTTTGAGACAGAGTCTTGCTGTGTAGCCCAGGCTGGCCTTGAACTAGTGATCCTTCTGCCTCAGCCTCCAGAATCCTAGGGTTATAATTGTTAACATCATGTCTGGCTCTCCAGAATCCTAGGGTTATAATTGTTAACATCATGCCTGAACATCATGCCTGGCTCCCCATTTGGGGACTCTTTTATGATTTGAGTTTCAAATGTAGAAAAGCCAAAGTGACTGATTGAAGTAGCTCCCCTAATTGGGTCTAATTGGGTTCTCAGTGTCCTATGCCACCAATGAACCTCTGGGCCAGAGAGGGCAGAAGACTGGTTCTCCCTCAGCCTGGGTTGCGTTGAGACGGTCACTAAAACGTTTTTGTAAAAGACGGAACGGGGAGGGACGTGAATTGCTGAGGATGTTAGTAATAAAGCTGAGCTGGGTGTGGGGCATGCACTTGAATGTAAGCCTAGCACTTGGGAAGCAGAGGCAGGAGGTCAGAAGTCAAAGCTAGTCCTGCCTCAAAACAACAAAATATAAATAATGTCATGGAGCCCCTGTGGTGGGGTTTACAGGCACTTTCATTGTCGCTGTGGTAAGATTCTCTCACAAGGCCAGCTTCACGGAGGAAGGGTTTATTGGCGAGCAGCTGAGGGGACAGAGCATCATGGCAGGGGAACCATCACAGCAGGAGCAGGAGGTGGCTGGTCACAAGGCATCAGCAGTTGGGAAGCAAGGGATGATGAATGCAGATGTTCAGCTCATTTACTCCTCTTTTTTAAAATTTCCTATATTTTTATTTTGTCTGTATGAGTGTTTTGTCTGCATGCAGGTCTGTGTACCACATGTATGCAGTGCCTTGGGAGCCAGAAGAGGGCGATGAGTCCCCTGGAACTGGGGTTACCCATGGTTGTGAGCCCCCGTGTGGGTGCTGGGAATCGAACCCAGGTCCTCTGGAAGAACAGCCAGAGCTCTTAACCACTGAGCCATCTCTCCAGCTCCCTCTCCTTATATATAAAACATTGTTTTACATTTGATTATTTGTTTAGTGTGTGGTTATGTACGTACAGCTGAGGAATTGGTGAGGTGAGAGGTGGCAGTGGCTTGTTCCTTTGCTTCTCTGATCTTTCAGCATCTGCTCCGATATCTGGCTCCGGGTTTTCATTATTAAGACCAATTAGGACTCGTGCGACAGTAGGTGCATGAATCACAGTTCACACAGTGGTCAGAGAGCATTCTGTTTTCTCCTTGCTAGGTGGGTTCCAGGGTTTGATTTCGGGTTATCAAGCTGGGAGGCAAGAACCTACACCTGTGGAGGTGTCTTGTGGGTCTGCTCTTTTTATTCTAGTCTGGAACCCCAGCACAATGAATAGTGACACCCACATTTAGGGTGGGTCGTCCCCCTCAATTAAACTAGTCAAGAAAATCCTTCATAGACATGCCCATATTTTAGATCCCGCCGACTGAAGTCGATGTTACACATCACAAGAGTCCTCTACTGAAACTGCAGTCCAATTGTTTGAAGGGCTCACTATGATGCAGCCCAGCCATTCCCTGAACACAGCACAGCTGACTGATCTATAACGGTACAACAAACCCATGGCCATTCAGATTCCAATCTGTTCCCCAGAAGTATTTGCAGGGGAACAATATCACCCCAAAACAACTTCCCCAAGTAGTAGTAGACCATTTTATACACGATCTGATTTTTGCAGAAAATACAAGAGATGGAGGAAAGGCGGATCGTGCGCATTGGAGAGTCCATGAAGACCTACGCGGAGGTGGACCGGCAGGTGATACCCATCATCGGGAAATGCTTGGATGGTATAGTGAAGGCGGCCGAGTCTATCGACCAGAAAAATGTAAGTGTAGTCACTGGGCTCTTGCCTTGTCCCTCTGGCAACACCTTGTGCTTCATTCGACCCTGGGACAGGGAGCGCTGGGTGTGGTCACTATGCTTCTGCGCCTGAAAGTCCTTTTATGACCCTCAGTGTTTGGATTTAGTTCCCCAGTGCTTTTGTGTAGAACACAGGGTTATCACTGAATTAAATGGATTTCTGCAAAGAGCTAAGCTCTTTAGGGCACCCGCAACCCAGCGGCCTGCGAGTGTGGGGTTTGTCACTAGATGCTGGCAGCATCCCCTCAGTGGGACAGTTAGTATCACTGCCAGGCCCCTGGGTGGCAAAACTGTCCCTCGTTTAAAATACCCACTCAGATCCCTCTGTTCCACTTTTTAATTGCCTCTGTGAAGAGTTTTGTCAGTTGGTGTGAACAGCTGCCTCAGTCAGAGTGTTTTAAATGGTAAATATTTGTAGGAGAGAGTCCTGGGCAGTCCTGGGCTTTGTGGGTTTGTTTTTGATGGTGTGTAGAGTTTGGTTGTAAGATTCCTTGCCTCCCATTTCATTAAGACATGCCAGCTTTCAGTGTCCTTCTCAGCCATCTTGGTGAGAAACAGTTATCGATGTTCCAAAAGGAACATCATCCTCCCTGCCTCCAGCTACATCCTACAGGCAGGATCCCGGGATTCCTGAGGTGCCAAACCATCCTTACCTTGAGCTGGAAATGTTTTTCATGTTTTTGTCATCAGACTTAGTGTCTAACTTTAAAGTCTAAATGAAGCTTCCTCCAATCACTGTTTAAAGACTTAGTGACTTATAAGCGACATGGTAAAAGGGGGAATTTTTTAAAGGCAGAGCATCATGGAAGGTTGAAATGAGATGTGGAAAGCACCTTTGGCTCTCACCTGGAGGCAAAGCTTTATGAATTAACCTGTCTGGTAATAGACACACTACTAAGAGAAAAAACATCCAGTATCAATAGGATTCTCTTGGATTGGCCTCTGCGTGCATCATGAGTGTTCTGGTGTTGATGTGGTTGTCCACGGGTATGATTGCAGGACTCCCAGCTGGTCGTGGAAGCCTACAAGTCAGGGTTCGAGCCTCCTGGAGACATTGAGTTTGAAGACTACACCCAGCCGATGAAACGCACGGTATCAGAAAACAGCCTTTCGAGCTCCAAAGAAGGCAAGCCGGAGCTCAAGTTTGGCGGCAAATCCAGAGGCAAGCTGTGGCCATTCATCAAGAAAAACAAGGTACTGGAAGTTTGGACCCTGCGGGCTGAGGCGACAAGGTGCAGAGGCTTGGAGTTTATCTTTTGGTCTTAATCAAACAAAGCTCTGAACTTCCAGAAAGCGAGAGGGACGAGTTAGCGTGCTGCGATCATTTCACGATCCCAACGGTCTCTTTCTGGTGGCGGTCTTTGCCATGACCTCTGTCTTATTGCAGATGTGTTATCACCTGGACTGGGTCACCCACACTAACATCACTGACCTCACGGCCCTTTCACCCACCCCTTATCCTCCCAGACTGCTGGGCACCTCTGCTGGGAGCGAGGGGACAGTGTCCCATCTAATCAAGCTTGCCAGCCTGGGCTTGGTTTTGAATCCATGTTAACCTGTCTCCGTGAACATTTTTTCCATTTTCTTTTCATAGCGTGGTATGTAGGTGCATGACAGCGCTAACCCACCGGCCTAAAACGGGATGGAGGTGGCATTACTGCATTAACCTTAGGCTGGATGTTAGAGTTTCTCAGGATAGGACTGTCTCGCTGTTTCTCGAAACCTCAGTAATTTAGACCCTTTCCCCCCATTGAGCTGTGTTAGTTTAGGTGCGGAAATGTTTACCCCTCTGGCTTACACTGGATCTGGAATGACTAATGAGAGCCTTAGCTTGCATGTGGCCGTCTGCATGAGCTTTGGGTCACAAGGTTCTGCTGTCCCGTCGCGTACTCACAGACCCTCTCCTTTTCACCCCCTCTTTGTGGAACACATCCTACATGGTTTCTTTTGTACCGTGGCATCGATATTAATGGTTTGTGTTTGACTTGCTTTGGATCTTGACTATGATTTGATGCTTATTTCTGTTTTGTGTCTTCTCGTTTCTGGTTTTTTTTTTTCACTATCACTGCTCATCTTTCACATGTAGCTTATGTCCCTTTTAACATCCCCCCATCAGCCTCCCCCTCCCCCCCCTGCCTCTGCCTCACCCTCTGCTGTTCCCAACGGCCCCCAGTCTCCCAAGCAGCAAAAGGAACCCCTCTCCCACCGCTTCAACGAGTTCATGACCTCCAAACCCAAAATCCACTGCTTCCGGAGCCTAAAGCGTGGGGTAAGTGCCGCTCTGGAATCCTGCGTCTCTTGCGCACTGTGTTGCATGTCTCATTCTGCATAACTTACTTTGTTTGTGAATGGACCCAGTGTGTTTTCCTATAACATTTAGAGAGAGAGAAAGGCTGAGCCTCAGTCGGCTCCCAGAGAACCAGAGAGCAAAAGAATGTCAGAAAGAAAGGAAGGAGCGGAGGAGGGAGGAGGTGTGGGAGGGCGAGAAGGCCAGCAAGCCTGAGATTTGATTCTCTAGTCCGTGCTGGAAGCGCCCCACACTTCCCCTTCAGAGGACCGAAGTCATTCATTTCCTCCTTGATCTCACCAACTTTGATCGGGTCTCTTAAACTGACCGTGGAGAAGATGAGGAAGTGGAAATGACTGGACAATCAGAAAATATGTGCTGACTAATTACAGACGGGAGTGTAGTCAGGCACAGCTGTCCTAAAGAAGCCTGCAGCAAAGAGGAAGCCGACCAGCAGCACGCTGGCTCCCTTGTGAAGTTAAGGGATGATGATAAAATACCTCTCAACTGGATAGGGCTGAACTCTATACAGGTCGAGCAGCCCAAATCCAAAGTGTTTTGAATGCCATCCTGACACCTTGAGTGAAAAATTCCACACCTGACCTCGCGTGAGTTGCTGCAGCCGTAACACAGCCGCGGCTGTGGTGTGGCCAGAGGCAGATGTTTACATGAGGCCTGGATTCCATGTGCAGGACCACAGAAACAAAACACAGGTACCAGAAGCTTGTGCAAATTACAGGGTCAAAACACACACATAAAGTCAGGCTGTGGCAGGCCACATCTTTAATCCCAGCACTCAGGAGGCAGAGGCAGGTGGATCTCTGAGTTCGAGGCCAGCCTGGTCTACAGAGTGAGTTCCAGGACAGCCAGGGCTGCACAGAGTAACCCTGTCTCAAAAAACCAAAACCAAAAACAACACCCCAACCAAAAAAAACCAAAAAAACAAAAACAACAACAAAAAACCCATGTAAAACATATGTGAGTTTTATGTTTAGATTTGGATCTCATTTTATCTACATAGATCTCTCCATAAAGTCCGAAGTACTTGTGGTCCTGGACATTCTTGTGAGGAACACTAAACCTGCGTCTCTTTGCAAAGGGACAAGGCCCAGTAGCAGTGACATTTATCCAGACCTCCTCTGTTCCATTCTGAGCTCTTCTTGCAGTGAAGCCAGTATGCTAATAGAAGCTGTGGAGCCAGGATCTAAAGCTGGAGAATCTGCTCACACGGTCTGAGAGTCCCTGACACCCAGTGGGAAAAATTTCTTAGAACATGATTGCTGTTAAGACTCAGGTTCAATGGGCTGGAGAGATGGCTCAGTGGTTAAGGGCACAGGTTGCTCTTCCAGAGGACCTGGGTTCACAACTGTCTGTAATTTCTGTTCCAAGGGGCTCTGACACCCTCTGACACCTTCACACAGACATATATGAAGTCAAAACACCAATGTCCATAAAATACAAATAAATAGAATTAAAAAAAAAAAAAGACTCACGGGCTGGAGGGATGGCTCGACAGTTAAGAGCACAGACTATTCTTCCAGAGGTCCTGAGTTCAATTCCCAGCACCCACGTGGTGGCTCACAACCATCTGTAATGAGATTTGGCACCCTCTTCTGTATACATAATAAATAAATAAATCTTAAAAAAAAAAAGGACTCACATTTAAAATCAGGTGTGATGTTGCACACCTGTCCTCCTAGCCTTAAGAGGATCAGAAGTTCAAAGCCATTCTTGACTATGTAACAAGTTCAAAGTCGTCCTTGGCTACATAACAAGTTCCAAGCCATCCTGGGCTATATGAGACTCTTCAAAACAAACAAACAAACAAAAAACCCATCCAGTTTGCATGACAATTAAGATTGTGTGACTAAATCACACTTATTCCTCTACAGGAATTGGGGCAGTCATTAACACAGATACCAGCTTAGCTCTCCCAAGTAAAACTAAATGACAGGTCTTCTGAGCCTTCTCCCTCTTCCTCCCTCCCTCCCTCCCTCCCTCTGTTCGTTCTCTCTCTCTCTCTCTCTCTCTCTCTCTCTCTCTCTCTCTCTCTCTCTGTCTTTCTTGCTGTCCTGGAACTCAATTTGTAGAATAGACGGGGTTTGAACTCACAGACATCTGCCTGCCTCTCCCTTCCAACTGCTAGGATTAACGGCATGTACCACCACTCCCAGCTCAAGACACTTGTTTCTATGTGATGCCACAGAGCTAAGTTACCCCTAGAGCTGGAGTTGGATACCAGACCTTGGGCTGGTAAGCAGCATGGCTGGGCAAAGACAGGTCCAGTGTTCCTCGTGAATGGAAAGTTCTCGAGTTTTGTGGTCCTGCTCCAACATCCATTGTCATAGGAGGAGATTCCAAACCTGACTGAGCATTTGTCTCAAGTCCATCTGCTGGTAGACTTCCTCGTCTGTAGAATTCCTGTGCTAAGAGAATCTTCATTTTATAGAATCAGCGTCCTGATCCATGTCTAACCTCAGCACTCCAAAGGTAGAGGCAGGAGGATTGCCACTAAGTCTAAAACCAGCCTGGGCTTCATAATGAGGTCCCATTTCCAAAGAACAGAAACGATGCTGGGGATGTGGCTCAGCTGTCAGTGCTTGCCTAGCGGGCATCCCCAGCACAGCATAAACCACGATGTGATGGTGAAAGCCTGCTGAGACCAGACGTCCAAAGGTCCTCTGTGGCTACAGAGTGAGTTTGAGGCCAGCCTAGGCCATGTGAGATCCTATCTCAAAAATAAAATAAAATGATGGGCCAGCGAATTGGCTCAGCAGGCAAAAGTGCTTGGAGCCAAGCCTGACGACCTGAGTTCAATCCCCAGGTCCCAAGCAGTGAAACTCCCAAAAGCTGTCCATGTGCGCAATAAACAAATAAATAAAATAGACGAGTAAATAAAAGAAGTAGCAGGGTCCCCAAATCAAGGTTGAAGGAAGGAAGGACACATTTGAGAGGATTGTTTTGCTTTAAGGTTACTTCGTATATCAAATTAAAAACCAGACATTTGGCTGGTGAAATGAGTCTCCAGGACCCACGTGGTGGAAGGAAAGAGAGAACCAATCCCACGAAGTTGTCCTCTGACCTCCACATGTGCGTCTTGGTACTCAAATGTCCACACGCCCTGCACAAGTAAATGTACTCACTCTTTATTAAATCAGAAATTTAATTTCCTAAAACCGTCAGGACAGCCACTGTCAGCAGGCAGAGTAGCTTCACAAGTGGACGATGGATCGTGCTGAGCTCTGTTGTTGGGACTGGCTGAGCAGTCGGCAGCTTCTTGGCTCGATTATGCTGGCTTTTAGAACTCCACTCTTCATCAGAGAATTTCCACGGATGTAACCAGGGTGAGCCAGGCTCAGAGTCAGTTACATCATGTCACCACATAGTCACTCATGTTTACAAACATCTGCATCTGTCTGTCGGACACTCGTGATGAAATGTGTCAGATGTTTTCACAGTCACCATCCGTTTGCATATCTGGTCCGTGATGCTACATCACACAATCTCCTGGTCATCGATGGTTTCGTACCTGTGTTCATGGTGTCCCCCAAGTGCGTAGGCCAAGACCAAAGAATGCCTGTGTTCAATTAGTACAAGAAAAGATGGTTAAAAAAAAAAAAAAAAGTCTGATTTAAAGGAAGATTTTTTTTTTTTTTTTAAATCACCAAGGTGAATTTTATTTCTTGCTCCTCACATCTGTGTTCAGCAAATTCCTTTTATGGGAACTTTCCTGGATGGTAAGTGCCTTCTCCCCATAACAAGCAAGCTGATGGAAGCTTCGATGTTGCTTGTAATGGGCCCTGGGTCAGTCAGATCCGACGCTGCCTGCAAGGAAGGGGGCAGGAAGGGAGGAAGGAAAGGGGAGACACTGAGCCTTTGAAAACATCATAAACCCAAAGCCTGGGAACTAGACCAGGTTGTTCAGCAGCTTCAGTGTGCGGGCGAGGCACTGGATCCGTGATGAGTGGGCTAGTCCTTGATAGCATTTCACTCTCGCTTGAGACTGCCACTCCTGAGCCCAGAATCGATGGAGGATTCTGGGAGAATAACTGTGTATCTGTGGTGTGTCTTTCGGTTCTGTTTTGTTTAGATTTTTTCACTTTAGTTTTTGTCTGTGTGCTTGTCTGTGTACCACGTGTGGGCCCAGTGCCCTCAGAGTTCAGAAGAGGGCGTCGGACCCCCTGGAACTGGAGTTAGAGATGGCTGTGAGTCACCTCATGGGTTCTGGGAATGGAACATGGGTCCTCCCCAGGAGCAGCAAAGGCTTCTAACCACCAGACCATCTGTCCGGTACCCTGTGGCATGTCTTCTAATTCATCACATTTCACAGCCTTCAGGTTTGAATTCTAAATATCTGGTTTAATGACCAGAGTGTAGAAATTATGTGAAATCATTTCTTTCTTTTTCTTTTCTTTTTTTTCTGAGACATGCCACCACATCTGGCTCAATGTGCAAACATTTCTTAGCATAGCTTAGTTTATTTCCGAGTAATTAAACAAGAGTAAATATTTTTGATTTATTTATTTGTTATGTATGAATGCCAGAAGAGGGCACCAGATCTCGTTATAGATGGTTGTGAACCACCATGTGGTTGCTGGGAATTGAACTCAGGTCCTCAGGAAGAGCAGCCAGTGCTCTTAACCTCTGAGCCATCTCTCCAGCCCCAAGATTAAATATTTTTGTTGTTGCTGTTGTAAGCCATTTCCTGGGGGTATTTACAGAGAGTCTACACTGACAGACCTTAGTATTCCATCTTTCCAGGAATTAAAAAAAAAAAAAAAAAGATTAAAGAAGGGAGAGAGGGAGAGTATCCTCAGAGCTGGTGTGGATGTACACACCTGTGATCCCAGCCCCTAGGAGGTGAAAAATGGAGGAATCCAAGATCATCCTCCTTTATATATGGAGTCTGAGGCCAGTGTGAGCTACATGAGAGGAAACCGAAGGGGTATGAGAGAGACAGAGATTGATACTTGGACGATGGTAGAAAGAAAAATGATAGATGAAAGATAGATGTCGGTGGCCGGTGATGGCTCACGCTTTTGATCCTAGCACTTGGGAGGCAGAGGCCAGCCTGGTCTACGGAGTGAGTTCCAGGGCAGGCTACACAAAGAAACCCTGTCTCAAAAAAGAAAGAAAGAAAGAAAGAAAGAAAGAAAGAAAGAAAGAAAGAAAGAAAGAAAGAAAGAAAGAAAGAAAGAAAAATATTAGATAGAAGATAGATAGGATAGGTAGATGATAGAAGGATAGATGTTAGATAGATTGATGAATTGATGATTGATTGATTGATTGAGATAGATGCCTAGATACTAGATAGATAATAGATGGGTGGTTAGATATGTGGATAGATAGGTAAGAACATGTCCTGGATTTGACTCTACAAAGGGTAATTCTATTTGTTGCCTAGCTAAAACTAGATGCTCCCTCCTGTATTTTAAAGTTAATCTTAGGAAATACCACCAAAGCAGAGCAAGGCATTTTGGAAATCCATTATTGTGTGTCACGTTCTCGATGTGCGGTTCCTTTTTTCGTATCTCTTACCTTGTTCTCTTGCTGACTGTTGGCAGACTCAGTCTTTGAGTTATCACAGAGAGCTCATGAAGAGGACTCTAGGGAAACCCACGCATGCCTTCGAGGCTAGGGACTATGTTGTAAGTCTGCCTGTGCTGCAAGTACGCAGTCACAGCCAAACCACTAACCCCTCGGACAGCGCCAAGACTGGGGACCGGTACAGCTGTAACACGGCCACCCCACCAACCCAAATTCCCAGCTGAGAGGACTGCACCCTGGGGCAAGGACGGGGCTCTTAGGGTATAAATCCAACAGCTATTTTATCCCCAAAGTTGCATAGAAAGACCCAGGCTCCCTGATGGACACCCAGTGTCCCCGTGACGTCACCGAGTACGCTCATCGTCAGCGTGCAGCCTTTTTGTCTTAGTTCTGGTAAAATCTTCAAAGAGCCTGCAGCTGCTACCTGAAATGTCCGTGGTGCCCCTTGATATGAGTTTATGGCAGAAATTTACCCATAAAACACAGCTGCAGAATGTAGTCACCGAAAGAGACAGTTTAGGGCATGGCGGTGTGACCATGCAGGCACCTCCATCCGTGTTTGCAGCCAGTGGGCCCCTAGGGAGTGATGCCATGAGCTTGGAGAATAAAAACTCAAAGAAGCATGAACAGATAGGGTCCCAGTATATTTCACCAAAGCGTATGTGCTTAGGCACTTCCCGTCCCCTTTCTTTGCGCTTGAGGTTAGTAGCTGTGACCGTCCAATGACACATGGACGAGCTGGCTCTGTCTCCTTCCGTGTTGTTGATGCTCGCTTCTCCCAGAGCCCCTAACCGTCGCCTGAAGCTGATGGTGTTTGGTCCCTCGGTGTCCAGTCACACACTCCGTGAGGCTTTTGCCTTTATTCTCCTCGGAGAAGGCTTGCTTTCTAATCAGAAGTGACCTAATTGGCTGGCTTATGACTTATAACCTGAAAACAATCATGTTTGAAAAAGGAATTCGGCACCGTGGTGGCACCTTCTGCAGGTGATCCGTCACTGCCCATTCCAGAAAATGGAATTTGAGAGTTTTGGTGTTTCCAAAAACTGAGTGTGAGAATTTAGTATTTCCAGTTTCTATTGGAACAGATGTTCAATTTTGATCATTTGTTCTTATTTTGAAGTCGTAACCTTCCATATTGATATTGCAAATTTGGTTCTAGGATATTTCGATTATAATCTCAAGTCAGGAAAGGAGTCCTGTAGAGAGCAAATAGTGAGTCGGGGTCTTGGAATTCGCATAAGATGGTGTGTGAGGAAATACTGGTGTCCGCTCGTGTGCTTTGTGGGGGCCGTCCTCTGCCCTGCACCATGAGTGTTGTCTGTCTGAACGACGAACTCAGCTTGTGACGGACAATCTGTGCTTAAGCTCCAGGAGGCTCAGCAAGTTCACGGCCACGGCCTGTGCAGACTTGAAAAGCTGTCCAGTCAGTCTCTTCCTTCCACGTGGAATGCGTTCTTTAAAAAGCGATCGCCTGTTTACAAAGAAGTGTCAACTTTTTTTTTTTTTTTTGAGACAGGATTTGTCTAGTCCAGGCTGGCCTGGAAGTCAGCTGTGTAGCCCGGCCTCTGCCTCCTGAGTGTGAGCCACCAAGCTTGGCTAAAAGTATCAGCTTAAGGATGAAAAAGTATAAAAGTTGGCTGAGAAATTTTAACCCCTCCCTACCCAGCATAAAAATCCACGTGTGCTTTCTCTGGTATGTTGTCCTCCGGTGTGCCTGCACCCTACTGTCGGTTACTAGGGCCTTCGGTATTGCTGGAGACGAAGTCCGGGCCATGGGTTGAACTCTCCCTAGGCAGACAGTGGGGTCTCACAGAGTCTTGTTCTCTTCTGAGTTCTCGAAGCCCTCTTACTCTGGTTGAAGTCCTGCGGTCATGGGACCTTTCCTATCTCCAGGCCCAGCAGTAGTGGAGCTGTTGTGGCCCTAGGGTGATCAGGCCACCACCCACAGCAGCACCCGAGAGCCAAGGCAGTGTCTCCCCATACCCTAAAGGCAGCTTCCGTAAGCAACATAAGCTACTGTTCATGGTCACTCTCCATGCTGTGTAGACCCCACCGACAGGCTTGACATTCAATAGCCAGCCTCAAGCCACCTGTAGTCACACTGCTCAGGAGCCTGAGGCAGCAGGATCAAGAGTTCAAGGCCAGACTGAGCTACACAGCATGACCCAAAGCTCCATCAAAAGAAAGCAATTACTTTTGAAAAAGATCGAGCCTTAGAAGTCACCCTTGTGGCCCAGGAGCCAGTGCTGGTGTGCAGGTGGGAGGCTGCATTGCCTGGTCACCTCTGTCCTGCTGCCAAGAGTCTAGCTGGCACGCACGCACGATCAATCAGTCAGTCAGTCAGTCATGCACACACGCGCGCACACACACATACAGAGTCAGAGTCAATCAATCAACCAATCGATCAGTCAGTCATGCACACACACACACACACACACACACACACACATAAGTTTTTTATTTGTTTGTTTTGTTTTGTTTTTTCAAGACAAGATTTCCCTGTGTAGCCCTGGCTGGCCTGGAACTCACTCTGTAGACCAGGCTGGCCTCAAACTCACAGAGATCCACCTGCCTCTGCCTCCTGAGTGCTGGGATTAAAGATGTGCACCACCATGCCGGGCAAAATTTTTAAAAATTACTATTAGAAAATAAAAACTTGGGCCGTGGTGGCGCACGCCTTTAATCCCAGCACTGGGAGGCAGAGCCAGGCGGATCTCTGTGAGTTCGAGGCCAGCCTGGTCTACAAAGCAAATTCCAGGAAAGGTGCAAAGCTACACAGAGAGAAACCCTGTCTCAAAAAACCAAAAAAAAAAAAAAAAAAAAAAAAAAAAGAAAGAAAGAAAAGGAAAGCCAAGCACTCGTGTGGGAGGGCGTGGTGGTGCATGCCTATGACCCAGCACTCAGGAGGTAGAAGAGAAGGATTTCTGAGAATTCGAGGCCGTCCCAGCCAGGGCTGGACACTGGGTAACACTGTCTCAAAAATAAAATTTTAAAAAGAGTCTACCTAAGATGTCCCAGGAGAGACTGGTAAACCAAGTGCTGTGCGATTCTTTTAGGGTCATTATGTGTCACTGCTGTGCCTAGCAGATTGAAGTCCCTGGGTCTGTCCCAGCACCTCTCCCAATCACCCTCCCCAGCAAGCCGATAGGCATCCAGCGGGAGGTGACAGCGCAGGGTCACGAGGACTCTCCTCTCACACCTCGTCTTGGCTTTGGCAACCAAGCGACCTAAGCAGTTTTTGTTACGACCAACCCCTCCTGTGAACTTTCGCACAGATCTGCCCCGGCCATTTTCACAAGGCGGCAGGCGAGCTGATGTTTTGAGTCCAGTGGGACTGGCCACATGTCCCCTCTTCTGACCTGTGTTTTTTTTTTCTCTCTTTCTCTCTTCCCGTTTGTTACCTCTTCAATTTTTCCGTGAAGCTTTCTCTCAAGCTGGTAAGCATAATGTCCCCATGCATGCCCCTAGTCTAATCGGGTGTCGGGTGTGTGTTATGGATGCTATGCCATGGGCAACCTGCCTCCAGCATTAACTGCTCACTCTTTCCTCCCTCGGGCGCTTTTGTTGGTGTTTATCTGACCTCTGGATGTGTGACTGTCCTATTCACTAAGAAAATTAATGCTTAACATGATTTGGTTTTCCTTACTGTGGGGTCCTTATGAATATGCCAAGCATTGATCAACTGTTTATATTCATCTGAATGTAAATGTCAGAATTTGAGGGTGGGGCGGTGTTCCTACTGGATCATTTTGGTTCAAAATAAATTTAAATAGTTGGACGGTACTCCTTCCTGGCAGCCACTAAAGGAGGGAGGCAGAGGCAAACGGATCTCTGTGAGTTCGAGGCCAGCCTGGTCTACATAGTGAGCTCCAGGCCAGCCAGGGCTATTTAGAGAGACACTGTCTCAAAAACAAAACAAAACAAAACAAACAAACAAGCAAAAAACCACAACAACAACAACAAAATGAACAAAAACTGGAAGCCTGAAGGAGACACATGGGTGTGTGTCACACCTGTAGTGACTGCTCAGGCTTTTGGTGGGAAGACCAGGGGGAAGCTAGGACCTCCTGGGAACCTGCGCAGCTCTGTGGGTGCCTTGGGTAAAGGTGATTCCAGAGGCCACAGATGCTCTGATGGATAAAGGGATGCCCCCTCATCCATCCTTGCTTAAGCTGTCTACCTAATGTCTGTCTGTCTTGCTTTTCCTTCACGGTGTAGCTCTGGTGAACACCCGGAGTAATTGTTAATTTGTTAAAGGAAATCCTAACCAACATAACCCACCACTATCCTTGGAGAACGGGTGAGGGCTGGGGACGTGTGTCCTTTCGGAATACAGATCCTTTCCCGTGCGCTTCCATGACATTTCTGTGAAGTCAGTGAAACACTGGGGGCTGGAGAGTTGGCTCAGTGAGGAGAGCACTTGCCCTCCCAGGCGTGCAGACTCCAGCTTAGACCCCCAGCACCATAGGAGGCCAGGTACGACTGTGTGTATCTGTAATCTCAGCACTGAGGGGCGGAGAGACGTGAGTTCCAGAGGAAGTGCACTGGACAGCCAGCCTCGCCAAAGAAAAGCCAGTCTCAAGGCTGTAATGTGGAGAGAGGGTGACATCTGACATCCTGCTGGAGTGACACACCTTGAGTATGCACAGCTCTGCATATTTATGTGTCTGTACCACAAACACGCACACAGACATGAAATATTAGGTAGGAAATGGAATAGCTGTAAAAGCAAATATCTCAAAGACCTGTTTTGCCCAGGAGCAACGTAAATTCCATTCTGAGATGAAGAAAGGCTGACTACCGAGCCGTTTAACCTGGGTGTGGGTGACCTCGCCTTCCATGGCTGGTTCCACTGTCTGTTCTGCTAACTGGGCCGCTCCAGCCTCATCAGAGAGTCAGAGACGTCCCCTCTGACTCAGAGCTGGAAACAAGAGCCCCATTGCCACAAGATGAGTCACATGCCAGAGCTTTGTTTGAGGAAATGTAAACTTCAAAAGTCTAATTGGGTGAGACGCCCTTTCTACCGATCCTAAGTTTATATGAGAGGCTGCTGACCTGAATCTCCATAGCAACCAAGGTTTGAGGCTTTTCCAGTGACTTGTTTTCAAATAACAATGGTAGTTGAAAAGCCAGGGGAGCTCTTGAAAGGGACCTGGCTGGTCAGTTAGGTTGACGCTGTATCAATTGACATAGCAGGAGGATAGTTAGAGTTTGTCACGGCGTCGGCGTCATAGGTAACCAGTGCTGTCTCTTCCGTGGGTAGCCACAAGCCACCAGCCCAGAGTGCCCTTACAGGTGCCGCTGCCAGTCAGACGCCATCCAAGCCTCACACCTGTTCTAAATACATTCAAAAGATTCAGGTCACCACTGAAGCAGCCATGTTCAAGTGCAGACAGGCAGTCTCCTGAAGCTCCTGTCCCAGACATTGCAGCCACAGAACGTTTCCATCATCACCCACGGTCGAGAGGGCTCTCTGGCCACTGACCGGATTGCCTCACTTCCACAGTGACTTGTATTGAATTTTGTTACATCCCAGACTTAAAAAAAAAAAAAAAAAAACTCAGAGCTGGGCAGATGGGTCTGAGGTGAAAGTGTTTGTAAGCCCAAGTGTGAAAGCTTGAGTCTCCATTCTCAGACTCGATGTAAAAGCACAGTGCCCAGCAGGCATGGCCGCAATACCAGTGCCCTGTGGGGAGATAGAGCATGCAATGGAAAGACAGCCCAGAGACCCTGTCTCAAACAGAGAGGAAGACAGGGACCCCTGGTGTGTGTGTGTGTGTGTGTGTGTGTGTGTGTACACGTATGTACACAATCTCAACCTAGGAAACAAGTATCAGGGTCCCCAAGGTGGCTTAGGGCTTGATGACCTTGAGTTCCATTTCAGAGACCCTCACGATTGAATGATGGAGCTGACTCCCACAGATGGTATAATAAATAAAAATTGTAAAGACGGATTTTCCTCCAAGCTCCAAGCTGGAATAGAGTGAACACAGAGGTAGACACGGAAGTTTTCAGATAGCGTGCGTGGGAGAGGAAACTGCCTCAGCCTGTCATGCCGAGGGACCCTCCTGCTGCTGCTTGGTGACAGGACCGTCGCCCACCCCCTCACCCCCGACCGTCACACACTCAGGGTGTCTCAGGATGGGGCTCCGATCCCCAGGTGGCCTAGGAGGCAAATATTTGCTGACTCATGCACTTCCCAGCCCAGCCATCTTCTTCATAATCGGCCTACAAACTTCTGTCACAAGCCCCTGAGTAAGCCGCTTGGCAAATCCAGTGGATTCCAGAATCACATTCCCTGGGCCCCCTTTCTTCTCGCCCCCAAGTCAATCTCACCCTTGTTTGAAAAGAATTGAGGTTTTGAAGTAAAACCTCTCTTGTCAACTTCCTGGCTTTCGCTGGGCCAGTTGAATACATTTCATTCTTTATGAAAACGGCCTCATTTAAGGAAAAGCTCTTGGCCCTACAGTGGAGCCATGGCTCTCCAGCAAGGAGACGGACGCTCTTTGGAGGGAGACCAGCCCCTGAGGTCTTCTACTGGAAGCTCATGTACCAAGACAAGGGGGCAGCGGGATTTTAAAGAGACCCCGGCCAGGCGTGGTGGCTCCGATCTGCAGGCCCGGCCGAGTCTAAAGGGCTGCCTCAAAGTGAAGGCCAACCTGATCTACACAGCAAATACCAGGCTAAGCAGGTGCTAAAAATTGCCAGTGGGGAGCGGGGAGAAAATGAGGTGCTGCAGAGACGGCTCAGCAGTTAGGAGAACGAGTTCCCAGCACCCACATCGTGCGGCTCACAACCACCTGTCCTTTGTTCCAGGGAAATCTGATGCCCTCTCCTGAACTCTGGGGCCCCGAACACACATGTGCGCACACACAATTTTGAAATAAAATCTTTTAAATTGGGAGAGGGGACTAGGAGCCAGATGTGGTGGTTCACACCTATAATCTCAGTGCCCAGAAAACCAAGGCAAGGAGATCACCGTGAGTTCGAGACTGTAGCCCAGTGGTAAAATGCTTGCCCAGTACACATAGGCCCCAGGTTCAGCCCTGCAGAAAGGGGGAGGGGTGTTAAAATACATTCCTGACTGGGAAAGCAGAGGAGGTTGGTTTTGTTCACTGGGAAGTAATTTGGGGTCCCAAAGACAGTGAGGGGCCAGTAACACCAGAAGGGGGATGCCATTTTCTTTTTTAAATCATACTTTTCGCTCACGTCCTCAAAGCGAAGTGATAGTCCACCTGTCGTGATTTCACAGGGGTGGGAACTCCACCTCAGCCTTGAGGGGAGCCGGGAAGGAATGCTTCAACTAAGGAGAGGTCAGAGGTTCCGAGCCAGTGTTGGCTGGGCTGGATTACATTACAGAAGCGCCAGCCTCCTCCACTTCAGTCATCGGTGGGAATGGTCGGAAAATGCAAACGAAGTGGCCTCTAAATTTTCTGTGGGCTTCCTTCTGAGTCACACCTATTTCCTGGTCTCTCCTCCCCGGAGTGTGGAGGGACCTCCGGGGTTTGCATGGGTTTGTTTTTCACATCTCAGCTGGTGTGGCGGGAAAGCCTAGCTGGTTCTGCGGAGCCTCTGCAGGTCTGCAGGCTTGGTGTGCCTCCTCCCACCCAGGGGCGCCTCAAGGCTTTCTGGCTTCTCACTTATGTTTGTGTCTGCAGGGTGCCACACCAGAAGACTTCAGCAACCTTCCGCCTGAGCAGAGAAGGAAAAAGCTGCAGCAGAAAGTTGATGATCTCAATAAAGAGATCCAAAAGGAGATGGATCAGAGGTAGGATGGGTCAGTGTGCCCAGTCAAACAACCCAAGCTCAGTTTGGAAAGAGGAAATCTGAAGATGGATGTGTGTGCGCACGCATGCAGTACCCACAGAGGCCAGAAGAGGGTGTCAGAACGCTTGGAACTGGAGTTACCGGCAGTTGTGAGCTACCAGATACAGGTGTTGGGATCCAAACTTTGGTCCTCATGATAAAATAGTACATTTTCTTAAATGCTGAGCCCTCACCTCTCCAGAATCCAAAAAGGATAGAAAGGCATTATTTTGATAGGTGTTTTTGTCTGTTTTCTCATTGTGTGCTGGGGTTCTCTGTAGAGGTTGTATTTTGAGTCTGGGGAACAAAATGCCCTTGGCTAGGTTTCATGTTTCTCTTGTCCTGTGTGAATGGGTGAGTTTTTGGTTTTCAGCTCCAGTCAATGGAAGAAGATGAATGGGGTCCCAGGGTCATGGGCTGGATAGGCCACCCCAGCTTCCCTCCACCTTGTACAGATGTTGGTGTGGCTGTACCTCTTGCAGCAGGGGTGCAGGTGTCTGTAGCTCTCAAAGCAGGTCATCTTCTTGTCTCTGTTATATTTCTGAGCAGGCTGGCGAAGGGTAGTTCATTTATGCCATGACGCAGACACAGCACCAGGTGCAGGGTGGACTCTCCCTGATGTTGTAGTCATACAATGCGTAGCCATCCCCCAGCCGCTTGCCTTCCAGCATCAACCTCTGCTGCTCCAGCAGGCTGCCTTCCTTGTCTTGGATCTCCGTCCTGACATTCTCAAGGATAGTGTCACTGGGCTCCACCTCAAGGGTGATGGTCTTGCCTGTCAGGGACCTCTTGAGGTTCTACATATTGGCATCAGCTAGGTCACCTCGATACAGGCAGAATCTTGGAGTTTTCTCTCAGGGGTCAAAGGAGTTTTTGGTTGTTTGTTTTTGTTTTTGTACAAAGAGTGGAAAATGGCGTGAGTCCCACCTCTCACTCCCACACATCCTGCTTTGGAGTCTAAAATCTGTTTCTTTTTAGTTGAGGCTAATTAAGTATCAGCCTTCCTGTAGAGTCTCAAAGGTGTCCTTCCCCTTCCCTCCCCTCTCCTTCCCTCTCCTCCCCTTCCCTTCCCTTCCAATCCCCTCTTTCATTGGCTTTTTGTTTGTTTGTTTGTTTGTTTGTTTTTTGAGACAGGGTCTCCCTATGCAGACCAGGCTGGCCTCAAACTCACAGAGACCTCTGCCTCCTGCTTGCTGGACTAGAGGTATGCACCACTGCACCCCTTTGTTGTTCCGATCCCAGTGCCCCGTAAAAGCCAGGCACAGCGGCGGGTCTGTAACCCCACTGCTGGCCAGCTGGTAAGAGACCGCATCTTAAAAACCAAGGGGGTAGCCCGGCAGTGGTGGCGCACTCCTTTAATCCCAGCACTCTGGAGGCGGAGACAGGTGGATATCTGTGAGTTTGCGACCAGCCTGGGCTACAGAGTGAGATCCAGGACAGGGAACAAAACTACACAGAGAAACCCTGTCTCGAAAAACCAAAAAAAAAAAAAAAAAAAAAACCAAGGGGGAGTGGCCAGAGCGAGGGCTCCATGCTTATAAGCCCTTGCTGTACAATTGGAGGACTGAGGTCCAGACTCCAGCACCCACAAAACATGCCCAAGGTCCCACAAACATCTCTAAGCTAAGTTCCCAGGTGGGCAGAGTCGGTGGGATCTCTGGGGCTTGCCTCCAGGGAATAGGTGAAGAGTGAGAAGACACATGACTGTGGTCTCCGTTTACTCACACAGGCATACTCACCTGTATGCTCACCTGCATGCTCACACACACAAATAAACAAATACATAAATAAGTAGTTTTTAAAGAAAAGGCCCCTGGCAGCAAAAGTAGCTACCACAGTTAATTAATCTTTCAATCTATTGGGCATGATAAATTTAATTCAGTAGTTATATACATTTTGATTGGCTTTGAAAATTATTAATTTATAAACTAAAGTTCCATTTGCTTTTGGGATACCATCTTACAAGGACTCCAATTTGCAGTAAGGCTTGTTAAGGAAGGGAATGGCTCAGTTGCCTTTAGCCTACTGGCTATGGGTGGGTTAGGACTTCTGTTGGTCTTTTCTATTTCGAACACACAGATTGCAAGCCCCAGTGCCACTTTGAGATCTTTGGCAGCAATTAACCATGCAGTTCACACACGATTGAGCCGGTATGATAATGAGTATTCAGAGACGGGTAATACCTGGGGGGCACTCACCAACCTAAGACAGAGCACCTGTGTGGCCTGGGCAGGCGTCTCCATGACGGATAAGGTGACCTGCTGACGTCCCACACAACCCAAGTCAGAAGCTCATTTTTTAATAAAATGGGGACCTGTAGGGCCCTGGCCCCCATTTTGGGTAACTGTTGCCTTGCTTGCTGACCTTGACCTTGATATCCTCCCTATGCTAATTCCCTGCTGGGTTCCACCCTCCTGAATGCTTAAGGGAAGTTCCTTGTCTGTGTATCCTGCACAATGGGCATTAATAGCTTAGATGCAAGATTGTAAAACATCTATAGCAAACTTCTGCCCTCCAGGGTTCTCCCATTGTGCTGTAAGCCTGTATTTAAGACCTCATCCCTCCTTCAATAAACGGCATTCGGCATTAAAAAAAAAAAAAAAAAAGCATAGGTAGACAAGAGGTAGATGAAGACACCCAATGTGACCTCTGTGTGCACACATATCTGCGCACACACACAACACACATGAATGCATACACACGCGCACGCACACACATCAGTGAACTTTTGAAGAAATTGATCAAAAGAGACCATGAGAAGAGGGATGATCTCACCATGTAGCCTAGCCTTCAATTTAAGCTCCTCCTGCCTTGGCCTCCGAGTGCTGGGATCACCAGTGTGTGTCACCAAAGCCAGAAGGGTAGTATTAACAACTACTTTTAATTTTTCAGAAAAATGCTGGTAAGAGGTGATGGGAGACCTGTGATACCCATAATGGGGTTTTGTTAAGGACAGTAGGCTTTTCACCCAGTCAGAAAAAAACCGAGACTGACTCCGGCCTCAGCCCCCATGCTGTTCTTACTCTTTTCTCAGGGATGCCATCACCAAAATGAAAGATGTATACCTGAAGAACCCTCAGATGGGAGATCCGGCCAGCTTGGACCACAAACTCGCCGAGGCCACCCAGAACATAGAGAAACTGCGGTTGGAGACACAGAAGTTTGAGGTGTGGAGGACAGGATTAAGGAAGGAGCAGGAAGGGGAAGGGTGCCTCTGGGCAGACCCCTGGGGAACCCCCCCAACCCTCACCCCCACATTTCCAGTGGTTGGTCTCTGGAGAGGAAAACCACCCTGCTGACATGCCTTGAGCCCTGGGGTTTCCCAGGGTGACCTCAGAGCGCGGGACTGAGTCAGAAGGAAGTATAGGGTAATTTATCTGTGATTACATGGCTGCCCAAGAGTGTAGCCCAGTGATGCCTGCTTTCTGCCATGTGGAATGATTGGTAAATTTGGTAAACAGGGGCATGCCTACCCCTTCCTCAACTTTGCAAAAGAAGCAGTTGCCTGTGAGCTCATCTGTATAACCAGCCAATGCAGGGCCAGAGATGTCACCCAGGCCGTCCTACATCAGCTTTAAGTGACTGTCCAACCCTGAGTTAAGGCCTGGCAGCTCATGATTGAGCCTAGGCTAGCCCAGCTCCAAGTCTTCTGTGGCTTTTGCTTCCAGGCCTGGCTGGCTGAGGTGGAGGGCAGACTCCCGGCACGGAGTGAGCAGGCGCGCCGGCAGAGTGGGATGTATGAGGCTCAGACACACCAGACGGTCACTAATTGCGCCCAGGACCGGGAAAGGTACAGTCCCTGTGCGGCCCTGCCTCTGGCAGAGCGGACTTCTGGCTTTGTACTTACCTCTAAATTCTGGAATTTCTCATGAACACAAGGCAAGAGCGTCTGTTTCCCTCGTCTCTGATCCTTCCCACACGAAAATGTTTCAGTGTATCATCCAGTCTGGGCTGGCGACCTGTGGTGGTGGTGGTGGTGGTGGTGGTGGTGGTGGTGGTGGTGGTGGTGGTGGCGGTGGTGGGTGGTGGTGGTGGCGGCGGTGGTGAGGGGACCCACGTCTCCAGGTTGGGCGCTATAGTTGTTTCGTGTCTTCCTCTCTTGAGCAGCCCAGATGGGAGTTATACAGAGGAGCAAAGTCAGGAGAGCGAGCTCAAGGTGCTGGCCACGGATTTCGATGACGAATTTGATGATGAGGAGCCACTGCCTGCCATAGGGACCTGCAAGGCCCTCTACACATTTGAAGGTACTGCTGCCCCCCCGGGAGGGGGGTGTCTTCTGCCTCCCCAAACTGACTAGGTGACCCTTCTCTTCCAGGGATCAGAACTCTCTCTCTCTTTCTCTCTCTCTTCCTCATACATACGATAAAATTATAGAAAAAAAAATATTATTTATTTTATGTGAATGGGTGTTTCGCCTACATGTGTGTCTGTGGAGGCCAGAAGGCGGGGGCATCGGATCCTCTGCAACTGGAGTTGTAGGTGGTTGTGAGCCACCATGTGGGTGCTGGGAACCAAACCCCATTCCTCTGCAAGAGCAGCCAGTGCTGTTGACTCCTGAGCCATCTCTCCAGCCCCAGTAAAAGAATTTTTAAATAAATAAATAAGATGGAAAAATCAATCAATAATCAACCTGACATCAACCTCTACCCACCATACACTACACACTCACACACACATTTATATATACACATCACACACTCACATTCTCTCACACACTCTTTTACACACACACATGGTCACACAGTCTCTTGCACACACGCGCACACACGCACACGCACAGTGGAGTACCTGGGTGAGAAAAAGGAGTGTCAGCTTTTCTTGACCCGCACTGAGAGCTGCTGACAGCGTTGACAGGCACACCATTGCCCCTGTGTGGGATCGGCCAGGGAACAGGGTGGACGGACCATCAGCGCCAGGCCAGAGTTACAGAGGACGCTGTGACAGAAGCAGGCAGGGCTCAGGGATGAGTGACAGATGCCGTACCCAGAAAATCATCAATGAAGCTTTGCTGTGTCCCCCCCAGCCCCAACACCGACAGAGACACACAGACACACAAACACACACACACACACACACACACACACACACACACACATACATACGCGCGCGCATACACGTAACCCTGCTGACAGTGCCCTGAACCATTGTCCCCTGCCCTATTTCATTTCTGTTGCTGTGATGAAATATCCTGACAATAATCAACTCAGAGGAGAAAGGGGTTTCTTCTGGCTCACAGTTCCAAGTCCCAGTCCATCCTAGCAGGAGCCAGACAACGGCTGGTCACACCCACCACCAAGACGAATGCTGTTCTAAGAGCTTCTACTCTTTTCTTTTCTTTTCTTTCTTTCTCTCTTTCTTTCTTTCTTTCTTTCTTTTTTTTTTTTTTTTTTTCCGAGACAGGGTTTCTCTGTGTAGCTTTGCGCCTTTCCTGGGACTCACTTGGTAGCCCAGGCTGGCCTCGAACTCACAGAGATCCTCCTGGCTCTGCCTCCCGAGTGCTGGGATTAAAGGTGTGCGCCACCACCGCCCGGCTTTTTTCTTTTCTTTCTTTTTTTTTTTCTCAAGACAGGGTTTCTCCGTGTAGTTTTGGTGCCTGTCCTGGATCTCACTCTGTAGACCAGGCTGGCCTTGAACTCACAGAGTTCTACCTGCCTCTGCCTCCCAAGTGCTGGGATTAAAGGTGTGCACCACCACTGCCTGACTAGCTTCTACTCTTAGACAGCAGCGAACTTTCAGGTGCCGCCCACTTTCAGGCTAGGCCTTCCCACATCAATTATGGTGGTTAAGACAGACTCCCACGATATCCTCCCTATGCTAATTCCCTGCCGGGTTCCACCCTCCTGAATGCTTAAGGGAAGTTCCTTGTCTGTGTATCCTGTATAATGGGCTTTAACCGCTTAGATGCAAGATTGTAAAACAGAAATAACCATTGCACACTCCCAAAGCTGGCCGAGAGGGGTGGCTGGGCTGTCTGGGGGCCTTGGCTAAGGAGAAGACACAGCTGTATTGTGATCGACCGGGCTGAGCAAAGGGGAGGAGAGACAAGGCCAACCCAATGGCTCATCCTTGGGTCCTCGGAGATGCCCTGGGGAAGGAGTGTCCCCGGAAATCCAGGTCTCCTGGACTACATTTCCAAGGCCTGGGGACATCGCGGGGAACAGTCCTAGAGGCAGTAGGAAAAGTAGAACCTTGACTTCAGGAAATGCCAGAAGGGGAGAGAGATGAGGACCTGCTAGCAGGTGCTGTGGAAGCTGAGCGAGGACCTCTGCTCCCCCTGCCCCCCTCTGCCCCAGGAGAAACCCTGAGAGGAGTGAGTGGCTAGAGGAGCAGAGATTCACCAAAGCTTGTGGGGAGCTGTGGGGGTTCCTCAGAGGACCTAAGGAGGGGTCCTGTCTAAGGAGGGGTCCACAGACAGGAGGAGGAACCCCAAGACACACGAGGAAGGAAAACAGTGCAGGGACCGAGGGTGGGGGGACACCACTGCAAGGCCCCCCCAGCACTGCCTGAGAGAGCTCACAGCTCCCTTTCCTTCTTCAGGTCAGAATGAAGGCACCATTTCCGTGGTGGAAGGGGAGATGCTGAGCGTCATCGAGGAGGACAAGGGAGATGGGTGGACTCGCATCCGCAGAAGCGAAGATGAGGAGGGCTACGTCCCTACCTCCTACGTCGAAGTCTATTTAGACAAAAACGCCAAAGGTGCTAAGACTTATATTTAACCCACTTAAGACCAAACAAAAACCTTTAAAAGCATTGGAGCTGTCTCTCCCCACCACTTTGGCTGTTACAGGCCTTCAAGAGGCCGCAGAGAGCAAGTGATGCAGACACTCGGGGACCTGGGGGCATCTCGGGCCTGAGTTTGTCCAACTTGGCCATGTGCAGAGCTGCCACTGGCCTGCTTACAACTGTGTCCTTTGAAATCTGATCAGTGTTTCCATCCTTTCAACAAAATATGTAGATTTTTTAAATGTATAGTGGTGGTTCGTGCCTATAATCCCAGTGCTCTGGGGGCTGAGTCAGGAGCATCCCACTGAGTGTCAGGTTAGCCTGGGCTACAGAGGAAGACTCAGTAAGTAAATAAGTAAATAAATAAATAAGTAAATAAATAAATGATACATTTGTTACTTCATCAATGGAACTGAGTAACACCTGAAGTCTTTGACTAAAGACGGTAACATTCTCTTGGTGCCCACGCTGAGTGCCCTTACATTGCTGCTCAGGTCCCCTGTGTTAGCCTTTAATTGTCTGAGTGTCCCAAAAAACCAAGAGATGTCCAGAAATGTATGCTCCTTGAGTGATTTTACTTTGACTGACATTATCGTCTTCTGGCTCCACCGGATGGGCCTGGGCCAATGGTAGGGTGTCTTCAAGCTGTTGAGGCAGGCTTCTGCAGCAGCTAAGTGCCCAACACCCCTGTGGGCGTGGTTTTCTATTCCTGTCAGAGGGTTTCCTGTGAGCAGAACCTGGTGGTACCAGCCACTGAACAAAACAGCCCCTGCATGTCCCTTTTTAAGGGGAAGACTTTCATTTTCTTTTTGATCTATAAGAGCCAATGTTTGAAATACTTGACACTGTTTTTGGGGTTCTGGCACATTTGATCCAGCTAACTACAGCCAGAATAAAATAAATGGTCTCATGTTTTAAGGGAATCTGGGCCATGTGGGAATTTGCATTTTAAAGTCAGTGCTGATATTGGAGGGGAGAGAGTGGCATTGGTCATATGCAGAGCTAATCCAGGACTGAATTATGCCAATCATGACCTCAAGGTCACCAAGGAACCACATCTGTGCTTTTGTTGTTGCTGCTGCTTGAGACAGCGAAGCATGATTCTAATTAGTCTTATCAATAAAAACCAAGAGCCAAATATTGGGGTAATAATCTGAAAGATCAGAGAAGCAGAGCAGCAGCCACTGGAGACTTCTTACCTCTACGAATCCTCAGACCAAAAAGGGGGCCAAGATCCTGTTTCCACCCGCCTATATTCCTGTTTCCACCTCCCCATTGTGCTGGGATCGAAGGTGTGAGCCGCCACCCCCTGGCCTCTATGGTTAACTAGTGGCTAGCTCAGCCCTTTGATCTTCAGGCAAGATTTGTCAGAACACAAACAAAATATCATACAGGACAGGGTTTCTCTGTGTAGTCCTGGCTGTCCTGGAACTTGCTCTGTAGACCAGGCTGGCCTTGAACTCACAGAGATCTGCGTGGCTCTGCCTCTGGAGTGGTGCCACCACCGCCTGGCTCACATCTGGTTCTTTCTATTTGACTTTGGGAATTATTTACATCTTATTTTTAAGCAAGAAAAAAGCTCTCTGCCTCTATATTAGGGGCTCATTTTTATAAGCTGTTTTGTTTGTTTGTTTTTAATGTGGTTGGAGATGGGATTGGGCCGCATGCATGCTGGCAGGCTCGTTCCCTGATTCTAAAAGTGACAGCTATACATCAGTCTGGGCTCAGGAACCTGAAACAGTTTCAAGATTTCTGACAATGATTTCACCTGAATTTCACAAGGACCTGTGAGGTGTCATTGAGCAAGCTTTCCTTACTGGCAGCCTGGCTCTTAAAGACGTTTTTTTTTTTTTTTTTTTTTGAGGCAGTGTCTTGTTATGTGACCCAGGCTAGCCTTGAACTAGGTCCTCCTGGCTCTTGGCAGTTACAAAGGTGGTACAAAGATGGTCCCATGCCCTCCCCGAGGCCTCAGCAGCCATACTTCACAGTTTAGTACGGTCTCCGAAATAGGAAGCTGTCCCAGGCCACCTGACTGTTTTTAATGCACATTCATTTTGTAATTTGTATTTTGTTTGAGTAACTTTTGCTGTCACGGTGTATTTAAAGTCAACCATTCCGGAGCCCCTTCTGGGGGACATGGAGAGGTTTCCCTCAGGTTTGTGCAAGGTGGGGTGGGGGAATGTCAGTTTGGAAGTTTGGACATGCATTTGTGGTCACAGTCTTAAGTGTGTGTTACTAAATTGAACTTAGCATCCTAACAGATGAACGGATCACTAACTACACTGAATGATACTTCGTAGTTCCCATCTCCTCCGTGGTGAATAATAGAACTTCCTTCCAATAGTTGGCTGTTAAGAAAGGGAGATTGGAGGTGTGGTTAGGGGAAGCTGGCTTAGCAGATACAGGCATTTGTCCCCACACATGATGACTATGAGTGTAACCCCGGGACTCACGCGGTTGAAGGAAGGACCAACTCTCGAAAGGTGACCTCTGACTCTTCTATGCCATCGCCTATGTGCACACCCACACAAAACACACACAACTCAGTGTGAAAAACTAGAGAGCAGCGCACACCTGGAACCCCAGCCAGCCCTTGGGAGCCAGAGGCAGACAGATCTCTGTGAGTTCCAGGCCAGCCAGGGCTGCAGAGTGAGATCTCGTCTCAAAACAACAGCAAGTAAATAAGTAAAGAGAGGGAGAGCTGAGCTGTCTGTAGCTTTTTCCTGTTATCAGGAAAGTATACCTGAGATTAACGGTCACCTGGGAGCTATCCCCAGCCTGGGGGTGGGGTGCCATCCCACCTAGCCTCTCCCAAATCCTGCCCTCCTGCCTCCAACCCCTATCGGCCCAGCTGCTGCTGCCCGACTCCCAGGAACTCCAAGTACCTCTTGGGTATTTGGGGCGGGGGGTGGGGTGCGTGTTCCAGACAGGGTCTCTGTGTAGTGCTGGCCGTCCTGAAACTGGCTCTGTACACCAGGATAGCTTCAAACTCAGAGATTCAGTTGCTTCCACCTCCGGAACTAAGGGTGTGCGCCACTACCGCCAGGCTGCACCTTTTGGATTTTTATATTAAAATGCCAGGACACTTTCTGTGTGTGTGGTATCTATGACGTACTCAATCATTGCCAAAATACTAGACTACTCTGAGCCTCGTGGGGAATTTGCTTTTTACATCACTTTCTGTTAAACATGCCCGTAATCCTGCCCCGCAGGGTATATTTGTATATATTGCAATTTGAAAACTAAACGGATTCTTTGCACAGTGTTGTTTTAGTGTTTTACCTATCTGTTTATTTGTTATTCTTCTGCCTAACCACTTTTTGTTTTTATAACCACTGGGGAGGCCCCTGGACTCTCGCACGGTAGCTAGGTCCCCCGGCTGGCTGCTGCGCGCTTGAGTTTATTGTAAACCCCTGGGCTCTGAGTAAGTGTTTGAATATAGCTGTCGTGATTGTTCCTCTCTATTCTTCTCTAAGAGAAAAGAATCTGCCTGTCATCCTCCAGTGTGCCCTCGAATCTGCCTCTCTAATAAATGTTACTCTTTTTCTCGGTGCTGTGTATTTTAAGTGATTTTTCTCTTTTTCAAGAACATTGTTCTCTGTAATAAGTGTGTAACGCTTTCATCTCTGGGACTGAGGAATTTTCCTGCCAAATGCTTTTTTTCCCCCCCAAATAATTCTGCCTCCGTGTTCTTACCCCTCCTGTGCTCAGGGCTTGGAGCATCTGCTTTCCCTGTGTATTTATTTCCTCGCCTCTGGCGATGGAGAGCTTTCGCTGCTCAGTGAGGCAGGCAGCCCTTGGCTCCCTCCTGCCAAAGGGGTCTGTGCTTACTGCAGAGAGACCCTACAGTTGCAATGGGAGAGGAATTTGCCCCTTAGCTTCCTCACACCGTCCTGGACAAAAAAGAAAAAAAAGTTCAGTTTGTTAAGAAGATGTCAAGTGATCAACCTTATTGATCTTTTTTTTTTTTTTTTTTTTTTGGTCCAGAGATGGGGCCAGCTAAAGACAGCAATAAAAAGCCAGGCCTGCCATGCCAGAGCGTGGGAAGTAGAAACAGGAAGGCCTGAGTTCAAGGTCCTCTTCAGCTCTCTAGAGACTCTGAGGTCACCCTAGGCTACATCTCGGAACAGGGATTAAAGCCTCGAAAGCTCTCCATGGCACAACTGCTCTGGTGATCAGTCACTCAAACCCCGCCCCTCTTCCCAAGGCAAGCGCTTTGCCAACGTCTGCCTCCCACCTGCGGCTTTCTCTAACCCGGGCTTTTCTTCTTTCTTTTTGTGTTATAGGTTCGTAAAGGCGGTGCACATGGCCAGAGTTTCCCCGTGGGCCTCCCCAGGAGCCACCAGGAGCCAGTCCACTTGTCCCCATAAGCCTCCAGCCCCACCCAGGCTGGCTGGGCATCCTCCAGCCCATCTGCAAGCTGGCTCTCTATAATCCCACGCCCCCTTCTCATCACAGCATGCTCCCGTGGTTCTGCCATCCCCTCTGCCCCTTGTGCTGGCAGGGGCACTTCTCTTCCTCAGCCCCACACAGGGGTTGTCCACCTCACTCCGGTCCCCACCCACAGGGGCCACAAAGACGGCTGGACTTGTGCCCGTGGGTCCCTGCTCCTTCTGGGCTCCCAGTCCACCTGCAGATTGCCTGGCCAGTCCTTGCACATTTCACACTGTGCCTTTTGTCAACTGTTACCACTGCTTTCCTGGGTGACAGACAGAATCCAGACAAGGAAGCCAGTCACGCACTGGGTGGACTGAGCGCCCACCTGTCTCCCGTGTGTCTCTTGGGACATCAGCAAATGTGTCCTCCTCTCCAGAGGCTGCTGCCGCAGCCCCTCCTGGCCCAACCATCCTCCAGCATCTCAGCATTGACACCTTCCATACTTCATCCCGGTGGGTCTGAGATGGGACTAGGGCATCCAGCCCCCACCCACCCCCACTCTGGTTCTAAACCTTCTACATGGCCCAGGAAGATCCATCTTGAAGTCCCGACTCCAGCTTGTGGGCCAGCCCCGTTGTCTGGCCTGAGTCTACCTTCTGTGAGCACTGTCCACCTGTTCGTGGCACCCTGTGGCGGAGGGTCTCACCCCCGCCGGCACATCACTGTAAAGTGGACCTGTTGAGTCCCATAAGTAGCATTCGAGGACTCTGCTATGTCCCTCACCAAAGACCTTGTGCCTCTTGTGGTCCCTCTGGTGGCTCTGCAGCCACCGCGTCTGCATTTGACCCTGTGCTCGGGAAGCCCTGTAGAATGGATAGAGATTGCGCTGGAAGCGGTTTTCTCCTCAAATGATGGATCTTGGCGGGAGACCCAAAATGGCCATTCGCACCTCAGGGCCGTACAGCTTCTCCCCGTGCCTAGGACAGAAGCACTCAAGACTCGGCCACAAGCCCCTGTGCAGGGCACCCCGTTAGCACGAGCTTGAGGAGGTTGGCATCCTCCTCTGGGCAGCTGGTAGCTTGGTGTCATGTCAGAGGATCAAAGTCTTACAAAGACCACAGAGCCAGGGACAGAAAGGGCAGGACCACAGGGTCTGGCCTGGGCTTTGCCCCAAGTTGTGGAATTCCGACATTGTCTGCAAACCAGGGCGGGCACACCACCCTGCAGAACAGCACTGCCAGCAGCAGAGGGAGGGTCCTGGGGGGAGCAGCTGGCTAGGGCCTGGCTTTGGGTTGCAAGAGCAGGCAAGGATTAGCTTTCTGGCTTTCTCCACGCTGCCTCCTCCCAGGCAAGGCCAAGGTCCTGCACACCGCCCTCTATGACCCTGCAAAGCTGTCCCATGAACCGCAGCTTCTGTTCCCTGGGGCAGATGCACCCTTAGTCACGTGAGGAAGGCTTAGTGAACAAAATGGAAGCCTGGTAGCTCAGGGTGACTGTCAGGGCCTCAGCTCTGACACAGTTAGCCCACCCTGTGGTCCCTGCAGCCCCGCTTCAGCAGGTCACCAGGCATCTATCCTCAAACCTCGGATTTTCACCAGTTGGTCTGGCCGCTGTCCCCTCTGTGAGGAAGCTGAGTGGTTTTTACAGGTCTGTTTGCAGATCTTGGTAATGCATGAAGGATGTGTCTCCCATCTCCTGGGTCAAGAAAGGCTCTTGTCACAACGGTAAACCGGATAAGCTGCCAGTCCATGACTGTTAAAGCCTCCGCCTGTTTCCCCTCACTTTCCTTTAACTGCCTGTACTACCTACGTCCAGAAAGTATGGAGGATGAGCGTCTTCCTGTTCTCCGAGCTGCACGTTCTCCGAGCTGCACGTTCTGCTGCGGGAATCCTGTGGAATCTTACCGGGTGTCGGGGGCAGGGGTGCAGGTTTTCCCCGGAAGCTCTCCACTCCCTCTCCCCGGACCCACTGCCTGTCATCCCTAGCTGCTAGAGTGCTGTTACAAGAATGACTCACTGTACAAGAACCTGCCCTGCCGATGACTTAGAGGCGAAAATAAAAGGAACTTGACATTCACCCGGGTTTTTTTTTTTTTCCCTTTGCAGGATATGACTGTAGTGGCTCCTCCCTCTAGACTGAGAGTCTCAGCCAGTGGGATCAGATCAAATATTACACAGGGGGGCCTCTAATGCCTTCTGGTGACACCTGTAGTACGTAGAACATAGTAGAATGTTCACAGATCTCACACACACACACACACACACACACACACACACACACACACACACACACACCAAGTTCTGTTCTGACCAGTATTTTTCCAGAAACTGCATCCTGGTGTTTCCTTTTGATTTTGTGTCCTGTATGTATAACATCTAGAATGTCTCTAGTAACGGCCCCAAGTTCTCTTTTAACATGACATAGGGCACCTTTTAAAATGTGTGTGTGTGTATGTGTGTGTGTGTGCTTGGCCCTGTTGGGAAGGCCTTCATAGCTGTCAGGTGTCTCTGGAGGGGAATTAAAACCAACCAAAGGCTTTCATTAGAAGGCTACTCTCAACCTTGTAATTAAATGTTAGTCCTTTCATGTTAAATAAAATATAACTTCTGACATACGGTTCCTCGGTTCTCTGGTTGCATGAAGAGATGACTCAGGGTTGGGGAGGTGGCTAAGTGGGGAGACTGCCCGCTGAGCAGCAGCACAAGGACCCGAGTTCAATCTCCAGTGCCCACATACAAAGCTGGGCCCAGCAGTGAGCGCCTGTGCCCTCAACACTAAAGGGGGGCAAAGGCAGGTGAGACCCAGCCACCAACTGGACCGCTACTCTATGAGACTGTATCTCAAAAATTACAGAGGCACACACCATTAATCCCAGCACTCAGGAGGCAGAGGCACATGGATTTCTGTGAGTTCAAGGCTAGCTTGGTCTTACATACTGAGTTCCAGATCAGTCAAGGTTACACGGGGACCTGTCTCAAATTAAGATAGTGATAAAGGGTGACACCCAATGATGTTGAGCTGGTCTCTTGTATACACACACACACACACACACACACA